AGATACTATACAAAAGTTATGTGCCTATATGGCAGAGTTTGCTGGAATAAACACAGCAGAAAATGTGCCAACATGTTGAGAAAGGGGAAGTGTCGCTTTGACAAAGAGTGTAGGTACTTCCACACAGTGATGTGTGAAGCTTCAACATAGTTCAAAGAATGTTATGACCTGAGCTGCCCAGACCATCATGTAAAATGAATGCGGCGCTGCAGAGAAAGGGAAAATAAACAACAATGTTTCTTAGACATGAAGCAAAACGATCGGACCAAAGGCAAAAAGAGGAAATGCTACAGATGGGCAGCAAAGTAGGACATACCAAACCAGGCATCAGCCCATCAGGGCAAAATACACAATCAAATGCGAAGTCAATACTGGAGAAACCAGGGGTATGTACACCAGGGGTCATACCAGGTAGTACATTACCAGTGGTACTAACGAAACACACAACAAAACAAAACATCCCAAATGGCAATTCCTGCTTCATATTTGCAAATATTCAGGGTTTAAAATAAAATAAAATGAAAGTTATGTCAGTGGGCTCCTTACAGAAGTGAATGCCATGTTTGGAGCATTTACAGAAACACATACAAGGAATGTTTTAGACGGAGAGATAAAGATAGAAAAATATAACATGTATAGATATGATAGAATTAATAGGTCACAGGGAGGAGTAGGACTCTATATAAAAGATACTTTGTGTTGCACAGAAGTACTGAACTACGAATGATATAGTAGAAATCCTAGACATTAAATAAAGTTGAAAATAGGAATTTGGTAAATATCATAGTATATAAACCACCATCATCAACTGCTGAGAAATTCACAGATCAGTTAAGGAAGATAGATAGCTATCTGGATAGGCTAGAAAATCCCACACCAAATATTTTACTCCTTGGAGATTTTAATTTCCCTCATGTAAAATGGAAGATGGCGCAACGTAATGTTATACCAGAAATATCTCCGGGAAGCACCCTGGCTCAACAGGCACATACAACTAGAAATGGATTTGATATTCACAAACGAGGAACTGATCAGAGGCATAACCGTTACAAAAACAATATACTCTGATCATAACATCATAAAAGTTCAAACGAGTATTAACTCAAGGTTAGGGAACTGACGGGATGTTCAGTAAGTTTAATTTTAACAACCATAGAATTGACTGGGAAAAAATAAACCAGGAGCTATCAGACATATCCTGGGAATCAGACATGAGCATCCTAAATCCCCACCGTACCTAGAGAAGCTGAATATAGAAGCATACAAGGTACGTATGAAGCACGTACCATTGAGGAAACCCACAAGATCAGATAGAGCGTAGGAGATGGTACAGAAGAAAACGGGTTACTGAATTGCTTAAAAGCACAAATATGCTGCAACAGAGGAAAGATAGTCTTAGCTGAGAGATCACTGAATTAGAGCAAAAACTTAGGATGTCATACCTAACAGAAGAAATACAAAGGGAACAAAGGGCCATACAGGATATTGAAAGAAACCCAAAAATATTTCTATGCCTATGCAAAATCCAAGCTAAGAACTACCTGTAGAATTGGACCATTGTTGAGAGGAGATTCATATACTGACGATGAACAGGAAATAAGTGAAATCCTAAAAGAACAGTTTGAGTCGGTGTTCAGCAACCCACTAAATGGCAGCAATGTAGAAAATGTAGAAACATTTTTCACTCCAGCAGAAGCCTTCAAGAGGAAACTGGACAATTATCTTCACCAGGTGCCAGATCAACTAGGTTGTGACGGATATGTGGGGCAGCGGGCCTCCAGCAGCAACAGCCTGGTTGACCAGGCAAGCACCATATGAGCCTGGCCCATGGCCGGGCTCCGAGAGTAGTGAAACTCTGGAAACTCTTTAAAGATATGTCGAAGGCATGGCTGAAAGGTTTGGAGACCGCCTTTAGCATTGTACATACATGAAATAATAATAATAATAATAATAAATAATAATAATAATAATAATAATAATAATAATAATATAGTGTACGTTCTACTCTCAGTTAACCATTAGGAAAATGTTTTGATTTTAAATTGCTCCCATATTGACGCACCTCACGTTTTATATATATAAATAGTTTCTTAAATGAAGTTATAAATCTTAGTATGCGTTAGTGAGGTGACATAATTAAGACGGCGTACACTGGAACCAACTATACGGACGGGTGTTGAACAAGTTTCAGACGTGTCTTATAGCTTCTGGACCTAGCAACAGTGACCAGTGTGTCTTATGGACCGTCTAACAACAGTGACAATTGTGTCTTTAATTAGAATAGCTTCCCCACAGACAGTCTCAATTTACCAGTGACATTTAATTGGTTCGAACCTGATTGCCTCGCAAATCCCCATATTACCCACACAGGTTAGGGATGGGGCAGTACCAAAATTTTTGTGCAAGATAGGTATACAATACCGACAAGATGAAAGTTAAGATACTTGTGCAACATCTGGTTATCTTTATTGTAAACGTTTCGCCATCCAGTGGCTTTATCAATACAAATTCTTGGACATAATTAGAAAACAGAAGAACTATATACAAAAGATGAGGTAATCAGTCCCTCAACCTTGGAGGTGGTGGGTAAGACACATATGCAACAGTTAGACAACTTTATTCCGAAACGTTTCGCCTACACAGTAGGCTTCTTCAGTCGAATACAGAAAGTAGGCAGGAACAGTAGAGATGTGAAGACGATGTAATCAGTCCATCACCCTTAAAGTCGTAGAATTTGAGGTTGTCAGTCCCTCGGCCTGGAGAAGTTCAGTTCCATAGTCAGGAACTATCTGATAGTTCCTGACTATGGAACTGAACTTCTCCAGGCCGAGGGACTGACAACCTCAAATTCTACGACTTTAAGGGTGATGGACTGATTACATCGTCTTCACATCTCTACTGTTCCTGCCTACTTTCTGTATTCGACTGAAGAAGCCTACTGTGTAGGCGAAACGTTTCGGAATAAAGTTGTCTAACTGTTGCATATGTGTCTTACCTAACAACCTGTCGGTATTGTATACCATTTTGATGTTCATCTTGGAGGTGGTGTTTACAACACCGTGGTTGTAGAGATTCTGAAGCACAGTTAAGGAGACTTGGCGCTTATACCTGTCTTGCACAACTTGTCAGGCACTGCAACATCATGGTATCTTGATTCAGAGGACATCTACTTGACCTTCTTCACGACTTCTACAACTAGCCCATCAATTTGGGAAGGACCTACTTCCACTGGGGAATCCCGCCTTCCAGTGACTATGCCCTCGTCTGCTACACGTCTCTCTTCACTGACGCCTATATAAGCGCCAGTCTCCTTAACTGTGCTTCAGAATCTCTACAACCATGGTGCTGTAAACACCACCTCCAAGGCTGAGGGACTGATTACCTCATCTTTTGTATATAGTTCTTCTGTTTTCTAATTATGTCCAAGAATTTGTATTGATAAGGGCACTGGATGGCGAAACGTTTACAATAAAGATAACCAGATGTTGCACAAGTGTCTTAACTTTCACCAAAATTTTTGTCGATACGGAATTTTAGGCCGATATTGATACTACGTATACCAATAGCGATACTGTGGAACACCTCCAGTAGTAAGATATGTGTAATAAATGGTATAAAATATCGACACAATGGAAATATAAACACACATGCAGTATAATGTGATCCTTTATTGACAACGTTTCGCCCACACAGTGGGCTTTTTCAAGTCACAAACAGATCTACCTGGGGTGGAAGGTACGCGAGTATTTATAGTCAGGTTCAGAATGTTGGGGTCAGGTGGAGAATAATGGCTTCTATAACATAGCTGAACCACTTGCCAAGAAACTTCTTCATCGCTATCCCACATAAGAGCATAGGAATGGAAGAACACTGCAGAAGGTCTGCTCACAAACTTATCCAATCTCCCTTCCAAGCTACCCAAGATTTTAGACTATAACCCCACTCAGTACATCATCAGAACCTGACTATAAATACTCGCGTACCTTCCACCCCAGGTAGATCTGTTTGTGACTTGAAAAAGCCCACTGTGTGGGCGAAACGTTGTCAATAAAGGATCACATTATACTGCATATGTGTTTATATTTCCAAGATATGTGTATTTGTATTAACTTCAGGGGGCTGTGCTTGCTATCCTCTACTGCCTTATATAGGTGAAGGGATATCGGTACTATACAGAATTATTGTATGGTACTCTACCCTGATAACCTCCCATTTCCAGGTGGTGTATGACCCCTATAGGGTTTACCGCTTCCGTTTGAATATTTGTTACCCTGTGCTGTAGTGGGAAGCTGTGTTTTGTATTTATATTAAAGGACAAATTATCTTATGATACAATTAGCCAAAATAGTGGCCCATTAACACAAAGGAAGTGTCCTCAGGGCCCACACGGCCACCACCCCATTAACTGTTATTTATGTATTGTTCCAGTCATGGTATTTTGTTTTTCTATTCTTGTCTCTTATTGACTGACAAGACTTCATCTTGACTTCATTACTTATTGTTAAGTCTGTTGTTACCTTTACCCAGGGGCCCCACGCCTGCACCTCACCAGTCGAGATATGTCTAGTTACGTACAGTAAGAAACCATACCACGGGTGGGGATAGAACCCGCGATCAGAGAGTCTCAAAACTCCAGACCGTCACGTTAGCCACTGGACCAGCTAGCCAATGGCTAACGCGACGGTCTGGAGTTTTGAGACTCTCTGATCGCGGGTTCCATCCCCACCCGTGGTATGGTTTGTTTGCAATCGTGTCATTACGATTTCGTGAGTTACGTACAGTAAGGTTTGACAGAGTTTCTGGTGAGGGAACATAATCTGCATTGAAGTATACAAAACATTGCATGTGTTTCCATTCACCGAATTTAAATTACTTAAGCATATGTTGCTTATTGTGTTAGCTCTGCTAGAGTAATCACTGTATCGTCTTCCAGTTATGCATGATGTAAATGGGTTTAGTGCATTTTTCTGTGTATAATAGGAGTATTTTCTCATTGACAGGGCACAAGTACAACTTCGAGAAAGATTGACAACATCATCAAAGCAGTTCTTGACGAGAGTACTGCAGTCCGCCTCATTATGGAATCTGTCTCAGGTGACAGCGGCAGCAGCAGCAAGACAGTAGAGTCCACTCCTTCTAAGACTTCAAAAAATAAATGCATTAAAAAACGTCAGTATTTAGATGGAACTTCAAAATCACCAGTAAAAAAACGAAGTTTGAGCAAACTGAAACCAGATGGCCAATCAAAATTGAAAAAAAAAATTTCTTCTTGTGGACTAGAAATACCAAAAGATAACTGGGGTGAAGAAAAGACAAGAACGTATAAGAAAAGTGCAAAACATGTGAAATTTTTAGACAAAGATTGGAGTGCTAGGGCATTAACAGTAACGCAGAGGAGTGTCATTACAAACACTAACATTTGGAAGGATGAGCATGCTGAAGTACCTTCCACCACTGAATTAGTAAAGTCTCCCAGTGAGGAGGCTGCCACAGAGTTATCTATAACTTCTGCAAAAGCAGAGTATGTTCCTGTGATCTCTCGTGTGCGACAGACTGGGCTCTTCACACCACCATTTCCGAGTGACAGCGCTACTCCAGAAGGTGTGTTTATTTCAGTTACTTTTGGTTAACCATTTACCTACACCCACTTAAAATTATACTGTTAACGTTTAATGAATAGATTGGTAGAGTAAAATATTTACATTATTTTTATTTTTTGCCTCTATACACTTTGTACCTCTGTTTTACCTTCACTCCAACATTACACTTCCACCAACTGTCCCATATACTGTATACTATTAGTTATTAATTACAAATTCATTTACTGGGAAAATATAACCAGGATCGCAGATGACCCAAGAGCCTTTAAGATTGTCATGTACATTCTAAATTTACATTGACTTCAGTATATACTGTGTTTGTACATACGTTCAGACACCTTTATCGAGTATTATGATTATTTTTACTTATAATGAATTGTGATGTCCACAGTTCAAGCAAGACCGTTACTGTATTAACTGTTAGTAGAATTACCGAAAATGTTAGGTAAATGGACACAAGTGCGACAAATGTAACATTTTATTGTGGACAGTGAAACATACTCACAAAATGTCACATTAGTTGCACTTGTGTCCTTTTACCTAACAAGACAGTTGTTGTACAAGTGATGTTAGCTATATATCGTTGGACAATGGTAATAAAATGCTAGAATGAATAATATATATTTTTTTTTTTTTTATTATCACACCGGCCGATTCCCACCAAGGCAGGGTGGCCCGAAAAAGAAAAACTTTCACCATCATTCACTCCATCACTGTCTTGCCAGAAGGGTGCTTTACACTACAGTTTTTAAACTGCAACATTAACACCCCTCCTTCAGAGTGCAGGCACTGTACTTCCCATCTCCAGGACTCAAGTCCGGCCTGCCGGTTTCCCTGAATCCCTTCATAAATGTTACTTTGCTCACACTCCAACAGCACGTCAAGTATTAAAAAACCATTTGTCTCCATTCACTCCTATCAAACACGCTCACGCACGCCTGCTGGAAGTCCAAGCCCCTCGCACACAAAACCTCCTTCACCCCCTCCCTCCAACCCTTCCTAGGCCGACCCCTACCCCCGCCTTCCTTCCACTACAGACTGATACACTCTTGAAGTCATTCTGTTTCGCTCCATTCTCTCTACATGTCCGAACCACCTCAACAACCCTTCCTCAGCCCTCTGGACAACAGTTTTGGTAATCCCGCACCTCCTCCTAACTTCCAAACTACGAATTCTCTGCATTATATTCACACCACACATTGCCCTCAGACATGACATCTCCACTGCCTCCAGCCTTCTCCTCGCTGCAACATTCATCACCCACGCTTCACACCCTATAAGAGCGTTGGTAAAACTATACTCTCATACATTCCCCTCTTTTCCTCCAAGGACAAAGTTCTTTGTCTCCCCCAGACTCCTAAGTGCACCACTCACTCTCTTTCCCTCATCAATTCTATGATTCACCTCATCCTTCATAGACCCATCCGCTGACACGTCCACTCCCAAATATCTGAATACGTTCACCTCCTCCACACTCTCTCCCTCCAATCTGATATTCAATCTTTCATCACCTAATCTTTTTGTTATCCCATAACCTTACTCTTTCCTGTATTCACCTTTAATTTTTTTCTTTTGCACACCCTACCAAATTCATCCACCAATCTCTGCAACTTCTCTTCAGAATCCCCCAAGAGCACAGTTCATCAGCAAAGAGCAGCTGTGCAACTCCCACTTTGTGTGTGATTCTTTATCTTTTAACTCCACGCCTCTTGCCAAGACCCTCGCATTTACTTCTCTTACAACCCCATCTATAAATATATTAAACAACCACGGTGACATCACACATCCTTGTCCTAAGGCCTACTTTTACTGGGAAAAAATTCCCCTCTTTCCTACATACTCTAACTTGAGCCTCACTATCCTCGTAAAAACTCTTCACTGCTTTCAGTAACCTACCTCCTACACCATACACTTGCAACATCTGCCACATTGCCCCCCTATCCACCCTGTCATACGCCTTTTCCAAATCCATAAATGCCACAAAGACCTCTTTAGCCTTATCTAAATACTGTTCACTTATATGTTTCACTGTAAACACCTGGTCCACACACCCCCTACCTTTCCTAAAGCCTCCTTGTTCATCTGCTATCCTATTCTCCGTCTTACTCTTAATTCTTTCAATTATAACTCTACCATACACTTTACCAGGTACACTCAACAGACTTATCCCCCTATAATTTTTGCACTCTCTTTTATCCCCTTTTGCCTTTATACAAAGGAACTATGCATGCTCTCTGCCAATCCCTAGGTACCTTACCCTCTTCCATACATTTATTAAATAATTGCACCAACCACTCCAAAACTATATCCCCACCTGCTTTTAACATTTCTATCTTTATCCCATCAATCCCGGCTGCCTTACCCCCTTTCATTTTACCTACGCCTCACGAACTTCCCCCACACTCACAACTGACTCTTCCTCACTCCTACAAGATGTTATTCCTCCTTGCCCTATACACGAAATCACAGCTTCCTATCTTCATCAACATTTAACAATTCCTCAAAAATATTCCTTCCATCTTCCCAATACCTCTAACTCTCCATTTAATAACTCTCCTCTCCTATTTTTAACTGACAAATCCATTTGTTCTCTAGGCTTTCTTAACTTGTTAATCTCACTCCAAACTTTTTCTTATTTTCAACAAAATTTGTTGATAACATCTCACCCACTCTCTCATTTGCTCTCTTTTTACATTGCTTCACCACTCTCTTAACTTCTCTCTTTTTCTCCATATACTCTTCCCTCCTTGCATCACTTCTACTTTGTAAAAACTTCTCATATGCTAACTTTTCTCCTTACTACTCTCTTTACATCATCATTCCACCAATCGCTCCTCTTCCTCCTGCACCCACTTTCCTGTAACCACAAACTTCTGCTGAACACTCTAACACTACATTTTTAAACCTACCCCATACCTCTTCGACCCCATTGCCTATGCTCTCATTAGCCCATCTATCCTCCAATAGCTGTTTATATCTTACCCTAACTGCCTCCTCTTTTAGTTTATAAACCTTTACCTCTCTCTTCCCTGATGCTTCTTTTCTCCTTGTATCCCATCTACCTTTTACTCTCAGTGTGCTACAACTAGAAGTGATCTGATATATCTGTGGCCCCTCTATAAACATGTACATCCTGAAGTCTACTCAACAGTCTTTTATCTACCATACATAATCCAACAAACTACTGTCATTTCGCCCTACATCATATCGTGTATACTTATTTATCCTCTTTTTTAAAAATATGTATTACCTATAACTAAACCCCTTTCTATACAAAGTTCAATCAAAGGGCTCCCATTATCATTACACCTGGCACCCCAAACTTACCTACCACACCCTCTCTAAAAGTTTCTCCTACTTTAGCATTCAAGTCCCCTACCACAATTACTCTCTCACTTGGTTCAAAGGCTCCTATACATTCACTTAACATCTCCCAAAACTCTCTCTCTCCTCTGCATTCCTCTTTTCTCCAGGTGCATACACGCTTATTATGACCCACTTCTCGCATCCAACCTTTACTTTAATCCACATAATTCTTGAATTTACACATTCATATTCTCTTTTCTCCTTCCATAACTGATCATTTAACATTACTGCTACCCCTTCCTTGCTCTAACTCTCTCAGATACTCCAGATTTAATCCCATTTATTTCCCCCCACTGAAACTCTCCTACCCCCTTCAGCTTTGTTTCGCTTAGGGCCAGGACATCCAACTTCTTTTCATTCATAACATCAGCAATCATCTGTTTCTTGTCATCCGCACTACATCCACGCACATTTAAGCAACCCAGTTTTATAAAGTTTTTCTTCTTCTCTTTTTTAGTAATTGTATACAGGAGAAGGGGTTACTAGCCCATTGCTCCCGGCATTTTAGTCGCCTCATACGACACGCATGGCTTACGGAGGAAAGATTCTTTTCCACTTCCCCATGGACAATAGAAGAAATAAAAAGAACAAGAGCTATTTAGAAAAAGGAGAAAAACCTAGATGTATGTTTTATATATATATATGCATGTGCGTGTCTATGAAGTGTGACCAAAGTGTAAGTAGAGTAGCAAGATATCCCTGTTATCTTAGCGTGTTTATGAGACAGAAAAAGAAACCAGCAATCCTACCATCATGCAAAACAGTTACAGGTTTTTTGTTTCACAGTCATCTGGCAGGACGGTAGTACTTCCCTGGGTGGTTGCTGTCTAACCAACCTACTACCTATAATATATATATATATATATATATATATATATTATATATATATATATATATTATAATATATATATATATATATATATATATATATATATAATATATATATATATATATATATATATATATATATAATATATATATATATAATGTTATTATGCCATTATTGAACTAATCCCTGTACTATCACCTCCTGGATAGTATTTACTATCTCATTATTCCATGTGTCCCACACAGTTCCTTGTGTGACCCAATTTGTGTTATCTTCCTAGATTTCCCTTTCACAATTTATTACTTGTTAATAAAATACACCCCTCAAGGAAGGTTCCTTGATGTTGGTGAGGGGCTCTTGATTTAGGGAATTGGATCTGTGCTCCAGTTCCCCGAATTAAGCCTGAATGCCTTCCACATCCCCCCCCCAGGCGCTGTATAATCCTCCGGGTTTAGCGCTTCCCCCTTGATTATAATAATAATAATAATAATAAAATACTCTTTAATAATATCTGTATTACCATTTATTCCTACTTAAGCACTGTTATAATTCTTCTATAATCTTACCTAATTTTCCCTTTGCTCCTAAACTACAAATAAGAAACTAGTGTATGCTCCTACTACACTACAGTGCAATTCCTTGTACCATCTTCCACTAACTAATATCAACTACCTCAAATAATATTTCTTTAATGATATCAGTTGTTCAAACTTTATGTTATAAGGCAAATCCTACTCTCAGATTAATTTCATATCATAGTGTCAATCTATTTAAAGGTTGTTTTTACCACTACTTAATTTAGTCCC